AGTGATTACATGCTTTACTTGTATGGACTGATTTCATCCGTTCGACAACCAGGTCTGTTTATTATCTCCTGTTTGGCATGAGGAAACTGAGGCACAGAGAGGGTGGGCAGTCTGCTCAGGGTTAGACAGCTAGACGTGTTTAGTTTTATTTATTTTACTGTTTTTAAAGATTTTTTTAAATTTATTTTTCCTAGTTGACATACAGTATCATGTTAGTTTCCTGCATGTGTAGTTGGGGTTATGTTGCACTCTGTGCGCTCCACCTGCCCTCAGTGCCTTTGGTTCATCAACGGTGACTCGAAAATGCCAACACTGCTCGAAATCCACAGTAAACCCAAACCACGGGAAATAGTATTTGGTTTTTCTGAAAATGCTAATTACCTACCACATCACGTTCTAAGCATTTGGATTTAAGTGCAAATGTGCCAGGATGGAGGTGGGCCTTGAGAGCATGTTGTATACATTTTGAAATAAATGAACACGGCCTTTGTACAGTGGTCACCCCCTATCTGAGGGGCACATGTTCCAAGACCCCCAGTGGGTGTCTGAACCCATGGATAGCACTGAACCCTATATACAGTACGTCTGTTTCCTGTACTTATGCACCTTGTCACTTAGAGGAAGCACTTCGCAGTTTGTCTTTGCTGTACACAGATTGCCAGCATCCCTACCCTTGTGCTTTGTTTGCAAGTGAAATAAGTGCTACGTGAACACAAGCCCTGTGCCACACCTCAGACAGTCGTCTGGTCACCCAGACGGCTACCGAGTGACCAACTGATGGGGAGCACACACAGTGAGGAGATGCTGGGCAAAGGGGTGACTCCCGACCCCGCTGGGGCTGAGTGGGAAGGCCTGTGATGCCATCACACTGCTCAGACCCGCATGACAATTGAAATTTAGAAATTGTTCATTTCTGGGATTTTCTTTTTTCTTTTTTTTTAAATTTTTAAAAGATTTTTTTTAAAGATTTTATTTATTTATTTTTAGAGTGGGAAGGGAGGGAGAAAGAGAGAGAGAGAGAAACATCAATGTGCAGTTGCTGGGGGCTGTGGTCTGCAACCCAGGCATGTGCCCTGACTGGGAATCGAACCTGTGACACTTTGGTTCACAGCCCACGCTCAATCCACTGAGCTACGCCAGCCAGGACCATTTCTGGGATTTTCCATTAAATATTTTTGGGCTGCAGTTGACTGTAGGTAACCGAAACTGCTGAAAGCAAAACTGCAGATCCGGGAGGACTACTGTATTTGCTCATTTCAGAGGAAGGAGAACAGCATTAAAATAATAAGCAACATGTAAGTGATGAAACACATGTAGAGTAAGTATCAAGGAAACTTGAAAGTAGGTTTAAAATAAGAGAAAGTTTTTAAAGAATGACTGAAACACATAAACTGTGATTGAAAAATTAGAATAATAATACCAGACAAAGAGGCAAAAATTTAAGTTTTCTTCCTTTTCTCAGACAGAATCTCACAGTTAAAGCTATGAAAAGGGACCAGTTCAATCAGTAGTTTAATTTGTTTAAAAAGGGGGCAGTAGCTATCTGTGATAAGCCAGCGTGCTCTGGAGCCTTACCCCACTGTCAGCCACACAACCTCGTTCAAGTTACTTAACTCCACAGAGTTACTGTGCGAATTAAATGACTTAATACCTTTAAAGCACTTGGCTGAGTGCCTGGCATATAGTAATCCCTGAATAAACACTGGCTATTTTAATATATTTTTAATGCATGGTGAAAATGGAACTACCTCAGTACAGCAAGTGTGAAAAACCGTGGACTCTGAGGTCCAAATGCTGGAGTTTCAATTCCTGAAAGTGTAACCAGAAAAGACACCGGCATTCGGGCTGCCTGTCACTACCAAATCCAATAAGCAATGACAGCAATTGAATCTTTCATGGGCGCTTTATTCAGATGGCCAGCGATCCGAGAAGATGGAGGGTTCATACCCTAACAAAACAGCTTCCCTTCTCTTTCCTCCAGATCTTTTATAAGGGGGTAGGGGAGGACAAACAAGGTGCGGTGAGGGCTTTGAGATTCAGAAGCTGCAACATTCCTGTCCTGGGCAGTTAGCTGTTCCCAAGGGGGAGGGGTGGTCGTCTGCACTCTCCCTGGAACAAAAGTTCAGATGTCCCCAGGTGGTAATTTTCTATCAGTGCCCCAGGAGCTCAGCTGTTTCTCCCAGGAGCCAGGATGGGCCTTATCTGTAGTTTCTGAAACAAAAGCTTAATATACACATTACTTGCTAGACTTACAACTTTTTACCTTAAGCTAAAATTTTGCAAGTCTTGAGTCCCCCATCAAAAGCAGTTTGCTGAACAAGCAGTTCACTTAATTATCAAGTATCGCCATTTAAGCTCCGGAAATGGCCTTTGCCCTGGCTCTGCCCTCCTCCCGCTTCTGAAGTTGACTCAGCAATGGCTTTTCATGAATGGACTTTTGGTGATTTGACCAGCAGACAATTGAATTTTCTGCTAATCAGTGAACTGGCAAATTGGCCCACTTACCCTGGGTTGGAATCTCTACTTTGTCACTTATTACAGCTGTGTGACCTTGGTCAAATTATGAAATTTCTCTGAGCCTCAGTTTCCTCATCTCTAAAAAGCAGAAATCGTAACTCTGGTTTCTGTGAGATAGGGGTAGGATTAAATGAAGTCCCTGGGTGAGATTGCCAAGAACAAGAAAAGGACTTAGTGGAGACTTGATGTGCAAATGATACTACTTAAAAGTTGTTCCTCCTTAAATATTTCCTCCTCTACACCTAATTTGCATCAATTAATAAATTGCTCTGACACCCATGATCTTCACTGATTATGGAAGATTTCTCTGTGGGGTTTTGTCCCCAGGCAGAATAGCCTTGACGTCATTCACCGAGTACCTTTCTTAGCCCACATGACGCACTGAGACTGGCCATCGTGGGAGAACCTGGATCTGACTGTGTCACTTCTCTGTTTAGAACCCTTCCTCCAAAGCCTTCATGCACACCCAGCATCTGGTTTGATCCTATGCTTCTCTTGGCCCCTAGCCCCTGTGCTAGCTTGGTTGTCCCCACCTCCCCAGGTGTGACAGGGACTGTTCTGCATGCTATAGTGACATGTACTAACTCACTCCATTAACTAATATTATCTCATATTCCCATAGGGCTTGGGAAGGTTAAATAGCTTATCCAAGGTCAGACACATGAAGTGTCGGAACCAAGACTCAAAGCCATACAGTCTGGTGTCAGGGTCTAAGCCCTTCACCACTGCATCATGCTACCTCTGAGTAGATGTGTGTGGGCGGCTGGGGGGCTAACTATGTGGTGCTACTGTCACAGGTGGGCACAGGTAACCAGGTTCGTAGTGATCAGGATGAAGAATTGAACCGAACACCGAGTTTATAGCAGAGAACATGGGAGCAGGCCAACTCCAAGCAGAGATTGACCTCATGGGTTGGAGGGCTCTATTCTTATAGGGCGGGTCCTTCCTGGCTAGTTTTGGTGGGCTTCTACTGTGCGTGTACAAGTAGTTGTATTACTTTAAAGCTACTGCGCATGTGGTCTCCCATGACTTTCTCTGATTGGCCACCAGGGAAGAGGGTCCCACAATGCTACCGAATTGATCCCCATTTCTCTTGGGGTCCCCCTGTACTAGGTTCACCTTTCCCTTTGCCAGAGAATTATAGCTCTCCATGTTAGAGACTGGTGAAAAGGATAGGAGCTATTTATTCAAGTTATACAGACTTCAGAGTAATGACTTAATGTCTTCATCAAAATCCCAAAGTACCTTAAAACACCCAAAAACACTCACAGTCCTTCCCCCCTTTGCCCAGTCTGGGGTACTGTATCTCAGGGAAAGAAATAGAAGTCCATGGCTCAGGCAGCCCCTGGTTCTTCTCAGTAATCCGTGCTTGGCTGGTAGGCTTTCCTCGGTTCCCAGCACCATCAGCTGTGTTGCCAGGATCTCCAGCTAAAGCCATGTGGTGGTTCTCTGCTAAAGCCACGTTGTGATTCTTCTCATGGCTGGGGAGTGGGGGCTCTGGCCAAAGCCACGTGGTTCTCCTCACTGCCACAGCCGCGTGGTCCTCTCTTTAATGGCTGTCGAGTCCGGGTTTAAATATCCTCCAGCTTTACTGGGCTGCCATCATGAGTCTGCGCAGGGGCGGCCCCATGTTGTGGAGCCAGTCATCTCCAAGTTCTCAGGCAGGCGCTGTATCTAGGGGGAGTTGCCTCCAGTTACATCTTGGGGGGAAGTTCCTTCCATCCCCTGGCTCAGAGCATGGCCACAGCTATTTAACATATCTATGCAACCAGTTAAAGGTTGCAGATATGATAAATGACCATGCTAGAGGTTAGCTGCAAAGCTGTTGCCATGCAAAACAGCTCTCAATGGCCCTGCTCCATGTGTCCCTTCCCCCAACTCACACCTGTGGTGGAGGGTGAGGACATCCTATATATCTTTCTAATATTTCCTGGACACCTTGGGTTCTGGACCCCATTACAAATCCTTCTTTTGGGGGCTCCCTGGCTGTACCCTCCTGCACTACCTTTATGTCACCTACATGTGAATTTCTTGGGAAATTTATGTATATTAAATGTATAATTGTGCTATTCACTGTTGTTAGACTGAAGGAATATTATTACTTGGAATCTTCAGATGCGGTTTTTCCTTTTCCAAATCCAAGATGTAGAAAGTGCCTGTGAGTAATTGGTAATAAACTTAATTGAGAAGAAACTTCAGGATGGATATTTCCCCCCTAAAGTTTTCTATTCAGTCTTATAATGACCAAAGTGATGAAAAATCCCAACTATGCACGCTCTGCTCAGAGTAACCAAGAACCTACCAATTGTGGTCGGTTACCTGAGTTCTTAAGGATCACTCACACAAATGGCATTTTAATTACAAGTGGCATGTGTGAAACGTGAGAAGACCGGGCGGGCGGAGGGCGGCAGTCTGCAGCACCTAGAGTTCAGGGAGACCCAGACGGCTCACCCTGCCCCCTTCCCCTGTTGTGTTTGTCACAGCGTTGCCCCTCTTCCTCTTCCTGAAGATGGAAAAGATGCTGGTGGGCTGCCTCCTGCTGATTCTCGGACAGACCCTCCTCCTCCCTGCCGAGGCCAGGGAGCGGCCACCCTCGAGGTCCACCTCCAGAGGCAGACAGGCTCGGACCCACCCCCAGACGGCCCTCCTGGGTGAGTGATGCAGGCACCGCCTACAGACGCAGGCCGGAATGGGTGGTTTAGGGCGGATCTCCAGGGCAGGGGTTGGACATCAACTGCCGAAGCTCCCCTGTCCCTGGGTTCCCTGGTGGGTGTGCTGGGGGAGAGGGGACCTCGCCGGCAATGAGCACATCCTGAGTTGAGGAAGTGGTTGTACACAGCCTTTCAAAACAATATGAAATCTCTTTTATTTACAAGTCTCCCATTTAATTGGATGAATCTTCTCTCATGTGCAAGGGCAAGATTTTCCATCTGGAAAGGTCGTTGCTGGAATTCTCTGGACAAGCGTATTATGGAAATTTTTTACGGTGTTTGTCCAGCTAATCTGTGTTAATAATGCTCCCCAGCCTGGCAGCATGGGAAGCAAGCAGGGAGTTTGTGGAAGGCGGGAGCGGGCATAGAAACAGGTGGGGGCCTCGGGAGCTGCATCAGGATGCCAGGAGTGCAAAAGGCCAGGGGGCTTTGACTCTGATTCAGTGAACACGTTTTTCTCCAGGTGACTTTTTCCCTTTCTCCAAGAGAAAGGAAAAGCCATGAAACCACAGAGTATAGATACATTGTCCAGGTTGCAAATGTGGACTCTGGTAAGCCTAGCATGTGGGGGGAATAGGAAGGTCGGCCATTGGAAGGGAGCGAGTCCTGGCGATGCTACCGACCAGATGTGTACACTTAGGCAGTGTGATCTCTTTGAGGTTCAGTTTGCTCATCCGTAAAATGGGAATGTTAATGCCATCCTTGGAATATTTTTGTGAGGAGAAATGAGGTAATATCTGTAAACTGTAGCTATGCAGCGGATGATAGCTTTACCACGACTCTCATTCTGTGGAGTCATTTTCTGAAACTGTGTTACATTTGCACGTTGTTGGCCGGTCTCTAGAGTCTACAAAGGCCACTAAGAAAACGAACTGCCCAGTGGCCTGGTAGCCCCAGCATGCAAAGTGACAGAGACCAAAGGGACCCAAAGAGCCCTGTTTTAAGAAGCCCGATCTTTACTGATGTTAAGCTAAACAATGACCCCGTGTTCCTGGCCCTTCCGTGTCTTCAGTCTCCTGAGCATCCCCGTTTCCGTGCTGATGTAAACCTGAGACTCCTCAGCTGCGAAAAGGACTGGGGAATTTTCAGTATGCTGATTAAAGGGTTTTTTAAAACAAATTTCAAGATGATAAACATGTATAAATATACCGAGAGAACTGGAAATGCTTGATTTCCAGATAAACAGCAGCAATTGCATAGTTGGGTTTCTGATGGGGCTGCTTTCAGGATGAGCAATCATATGCTTAGCCAGAAAAGCACATTCCTTCTCTTGGCTCAGAATGAATGAATGAATGAATCAGTCAATCAGTCAATCTCTCTTTGTTGCATGTGCATGCACATACACACACACCGCTCCTGGACCTCCCCCAGTGGGCAGCACTCACTGCCCTCCTTGGCCCTAAGCTCAGGCTCCGAAGTGGAAGCCCCTGTCTTCTGAGGTAAGAGATAGCAGCTGTTTTGCCAAAGGCATGAACCCCACATCCAGTATTGCCTCCTGGTTCTTATTTTGCCAGAGAATGTTCCAGGGACAGAGAGTAGGGTGGAACATGGCACATGTCCCACCCCAGGCAGTGGCAAATGGCCACTCCCCGATGTGCTGGAGGGCTGCTTGACTTACGAACATGGCAGAGTGAGTGACAATCCTGGAACTGGAAGGCAGACACCGCAACATTGGCCTCGACGCTCAAGAGCAATCTGCTTTCGGTCTGTCTTCGACAGGGAGTGGAGGCAGGGAAGCCGTGCTCTCTGTAGTTGCTGCCCGGAGTTTGAACAACCTTCTGTTCATTTTTAGAATATGGTATCTTGTGTTTCCTGGGTGTTCGCTGTTCTCGGCCTCTTGTTCTCTGTGCTCAGAGCATCTCTCCGGCCACGGGGCACTTCTCCTGGGCCTGTACTTGTGATGTCCGGCGGCATAAAACATTTCACTAGTCACTTCATTGCAAAGGTGTCTCTGAAAGTTTAACAGGGTAGAAACAGAGTTGTTTCTTAGATTACTTTTGTTTGAATTTTCCGATGTTTTTAGAAAGTTTATCAATGATTTCTTAATTCAGGTCCGAGTCCCAGTAACAACTTGAGTCAATTAAAAAAATGTAGCGCATTCCTCTGCCTCTGCTGTGAATGACCGCAGGCTGCTCGGGCGGCAGCCTGGGACCCAGGGCCGCGGGGGCTGGTCTCTTGCTTCACTCTTTTACCTGCAGTTTCTGCGTGTGCCAGACACGGGGGCTTTGAGGACAGCAGCCGCCCCCAGCAAGCGCCCATGTAGTGGGGGAGACAGGCGTTTTTAAAAATCGTTAACTTGGTCCAGCCTGTGCACAGCAGGACGGGCAGGTGAAGTGTCTGTCCGCCCTGCCTGCCGTAGGCTCGGTGTGAGCCGTGGTTCTCGGACTTTCGGTCTCAGAGCTTGTTACACTGAAGGATTACCGAGGGTCCCCAAGGGCTTTCGCTGAGGTGGCTTAGGGTCAGATCGATCAAGAGTTACTGGGTCAGAAACAGACACAGAAATTTTAAAAGTATTAATTAATGGGCTTAAAAATAACAAGAATAAACCCATAACACATTTTATAACAGAAATAAGACACTCTTCTAAAAAAACGGTATTTTCTAAACTTGAAAGTTAATGAGAAGAACAGCACTGTTCTTCGCTGCTGCGTGCGTGCTGAGCGTCTGGCGGCACGGAGGCCGGCTGGGTTCTCGCTCCTCAGCCGTCCCGTGGGGCGGGAGGTGCTGCTTTGGTTGGACTCCATGAAGAAAACACGGCCCCACACAGATGCGTAGTCAGAAGGAAGAGGAGCATTGTAATATTTTTTCATGTAATTATGGGTATTCTTGTTTGATAGACACTAAAACTTGACCAATGGTATAGTTTCCTAAAGGTTAGTTGCAACATGAAATCTAAAACCACATCATTAAAATTTGGGTACTGTATGCACTCATTAGAGAATGAGAGTAAAAAAAGGCAAATTAGCACTATTATGAAAATAATTCTGACTTCATGGACCCTCTGAAGGGGTCTCAGGGACCCCCGGCCCACTTTGAAATGGCTGGTGTAGGGGAGAGTTCCTGGTGAAGACGGCGGCAAGGTGGAGCCTCGAGGAGGCAGGAGAGGAGCGAGGACCGAGCGTGGAGCGTGGAGGCAGGGCCTGGTCTTGCCTGTAGGGCGCCCGCCGGGTCTCTAAGGCAGGCGGTCTGAGCCGGAGACCAGCCTGGAGGTGGCAGGCACCGGATCACTTAGGACCTCGGGGTTCCCATGAAGAGTTTGGGCTTCATTCTGCAGGGCTGGGAGCCCCTGGCTGACTTCGAACAGGCAACAGTGTTGGTCACTGCTCATTCCCTTCCCGCCCACTGCGCCTTCTGGACAGCTTCAGCCTTCCTGGGCTCTGGCCAAGGCCAGAGAGATCCTACACTCCCAGGCCACCGGGAGAACGCACGAGCACTTTCTCCAGCCCAGGTTCTTTCTAGGCAACCACGCTGGCACTGGAGTTGGAGCAGCAGGGTGTGCTCTATCCAGAGCGTAAGCTCTGGGAAGTCTTCAGTCTCTTCCCCTCTGCACACATCCCCGATCCTTTCTCAGTGGCATAGGCCCCCTCCCAAACTCCTCCCTCAGCCCCCTCCAGGGGGAGCTCACTGGTAACCATGCTGCTCCCCCATCCCATTAATTACTGCCTGCTTTATTGTGCACATTTTTCTCTTTATTATAACACTGCCATATGGGGAGGGGTAGTGGACCTGTTGCCAGGGCAACCAGGGAGAGCATATCAGCCTTTTTGAAACCTTAACCCTCCTTGCCCAAACTCCCACTGTATTCTTGACTCCCCCATGGTCTTGTTGACATGCACGTTCTAAATTTACCAGCCTAGCTCATTTGATTTCTACTAACCAACCTTGAGATATTTTCCTTTCCCTATAACAGAGTCCCCTTCTGATCAAAAGCACCCACACAGGATTCATGTTTGTGTTGTAAGACAGTACTTTGTGACAAAATGACAGTAGATTCAAGAAGCAGGAGTTGGAGATTTTTAAAGGAGGCTGGCTTCATGGTGCACTCAGGGGATGATGGGAGCTGAATCCCCGCTGCTAGGAAAAGCCCAGAGCTGTTGGGGGTGGCGGTTAATCCGGAGGCCACAGAATTAGTGAAATTTCTTTGTAACAGTTAATTTACAACTTAAAAATAAAGCTAATGAAGACAATCTGAGAACTCACTGTTTATAGCCCCAAGTTCAGTTCCTTGGAAGTCACAGTACTTGATGAGGCCCGTATTTCCATTTTTGCACACGTCTCTCACTAATCCTGGCATCAAATTATGAGTAAAAACAGAGAGTGTTTTTTAGTACAAGGAGGGGAAACCTCCCAAATTAGTGGTGTGACCAAAGGAGTTGCCTGGCCTCCAGAATTAAGTGCAAGAATGTCCTGCTCTCCGTTGCCAATGGACGATTTTGCCAACAGATTGATAATGATGAACTGTTTCAAGCACTGGCTGCTAGAAAATGAATTTTCAAACAATCCCCTAATTGACATTTGTCAGCACCCTAAGGGAGGGAGGAAGTCATCAGAGTTTCTAGCTCACAAAGGATTGACCTGTTGAGGCCACCAGTCTTATTTGCCCTGAAGCCACTTTGCCCTCTTCCCTGAGCTTTCCCAGTGCCCTCTTCCTTCCACCTGGAATACTTATCCATGGTCAAGGCCTATTATCAGCCAAGGCCAGGTCAAAGGCCACCTCCTTCTGTAACCAGTCCTTTTGGGCCAGGGACCCAAAACAAGGTCCTCCTGCCCAGTGCCGCCAACAGAACAAGGCTGAGTTCTATAAAGCGGGCCAGAAACTTTATTCTTTGATCAGGGAACAGGGAAGGGCGAGTGCATGCTCTAACAGCACCTTCTCCCCATTGGGAAGGAACCTTCTGTATTTATAGGCTGTGGTGTGGAGTGGTTCAATCCTGTCTCGC